TGCTGGCATGCAGGAAATTCCAAGAGACGTAGAAGCTATGTCAGCAACTGGGGACAAAGACCAAATACATCTTTCTTATTATTCCACAGAGTCCATAACTGTCCTTTGTCCTGGACTGTCTTCCAAAGATATGCATATAAAGAACAGCCTTGGAAGACAGACATGGTGTCACGTCTGGTGCGAAGGACTGGGGTTCTGAGCTCCCTGTGCCTAGGCTTCCTGTCCTGCAACACTGCCCCCTCTGTGTGCAGCATCCGTCTGACCCATTGGAGCCACCTTGTGGGAATGGGTGCTTGTGAGGCATCTGCAGGGAGGCTGATAATGTGGCTCCTGCTCTTACCTGAGAATAAAATGTCCTTTATCTCTGAAGGGTGGCGGAATATGTGACTTTGGCATAAGAATTATTTCGAGCTAAAGGCACTTAACAATACAGGTGCAAGAAGGGTGCTCTGACCCTCTCCTTTTTCTTCTGGAAAGCAGGAGATAAAACCCTTATGTGGAAGATGTCCTCCTTATGTACCAAGATGAAAGTAATTTTTTTTTAAAGATTTTTATTTATTTATTTGATAGACAGACATCACAAGGAGGCAGAGAGGCAGGCAGAGAGAGAGGAAGGGAAGCAGGCTTCCCGCTGAGCAGAGAGCCCCATGCAGGGCTCCATCCCAGGACCCTGGGATCATGACTCAAGCTGAAGGCAGAGGCTTTAACCCACTGAGCCACCCAGGCGCCCCTGAAAGTAATTTTCTTAACATCCAGGGTAGGAGATCAAAGCTGGAAGGATTCTGTATCGATCTTGGTAAAATAATTCTTCCTGTAGCCTCCTCATCTGTTTTACTTGTCCACCATTGCCTCTCCTTTGTTCAACCTAATGTAAAAGCAGTTCAGTTTTGCCACTTTTCTGGATATTCATTTCCTTCTGAGGGTTCACTTGTCATGTAAAACTTTCATGAAGTAAGTTTGTATGGTTTTCTCTTGTCCATGTCCCATGTCAGGCCCCAGTGAAAATCCTGAGATGGTAAGGTAAATTTTTGCCTTCCATCTCTGACCCAGCAGTCTCTTGTGTTCCACGAGCCACCTTGAAACTGACAGGTTAATTAGTTACCTTATAAATACAGTGAAATATCAGAATATTCACAGTTCTTGATAGACACATGTTGTCAACAGGCAGAGAAAAGGAAGGGTGTTTAAATTGTTACCAGTTACGTGTAAGTTACAACTGGAATTTAGGAATTACACTGCTGGGAAGGGAGGCAGCATAGGAGACTGCATAAAGCCAAAGAATCATACTCCTATTGTTATTTCCTTATTTGCTCTTTTAGTCACTTGTCCTTGCTTTCCACTTTGAAATTTGAGAGTTGCCCTCTGGTGCTCATTATCCCACAACTGATTTCCATCTTCTGTCCTCCCGGTACAATGCATTTTCTCATGCTGAGACATGTCTGAAATTATGTTGATATGGATGAACTACCTGATATTTTCCATTTTGTAAAATTTGAGCACATTGGATTTACTGGTTGCCTTATCTTGTCACTTGATTAGTTTCCTGTCAGTCTTGATATTATTCCCTAATTCTTCAAAATAACAGTGAAACTCCTAAATGCTCTTTTCTTTCTGGTCAGTGCATCGGGTGTTATTTTTCCCTGGAGATCTTCCTCCCAGACTGCTTCTCCATCATGTTCGTCCGGATCCACTGCACAGAACTGGGGCTTTGCCTTTGACGCCTCCTTCCTTTTGCTGTAAAGTCTGCTTCTTGGGTCCCATCTCTCTTTTTTTAAATTCTTGATTTCACTGATTTGCTTGAGTGGAGTTTATGATAAGATAAAAACATGTGAGATAAAATTTTTGAGACCTTTCATGTCTTTAAAATATCTTTATTTTACCTAATAATTGATTAATCATTTGATTATAGAAATCTAAGTTAAAATTGTTTCCCTTAGGATTTTTTTTTTAAAGATTTTATTTATTTATTTGACAGAGAGATCACAAGTAGGCAGAGAGGCAGGCAGAGAGAGAGGGGGAAGCAGGCTCCCCACTGAGCAGAGAACCCGATGCAGGCTCAATCCCAGGACCCTGAGATCATGACCTGAGCTGAAGGAAGAGGCTTAACCCACTGAGCCACCCAGGCGCCTCTCCCTTAGGATTTTGAAGGCATTACTCTGCTGTCTGTCATCTTCAGGTGCTCTTCTTGATTATTCCAATGGTAATTTCTTTTCTTTTTTTTTTTTTTTTAAAGATTTTATTTATTTATTTGACAGAGAGATCACAAGTAGGCAGAGAGTTCAGGCAGAGAGAGAGAGAGAGAGAGAGAGAGAGAGAGAAGCAGGCTCCCCACTGAGCAAAGAGCCCAATGCGGGGCTTGATCCCAGGACACTGAGATCATGACCTGAGCCGAAGGCAGCGGCTTAATCCACTGAGCCACCCAGGCGCCCCGGTAATTTATTTTCGACTTTTCTTTTTCCTGCCTGAAAACTCTGACATCTTTCTTTTATCCACAGTATCTTGTGCAGATGTTTTGCCATTCATTGAACCATGTGCTTGGCAGGCCTTTCCCTGTACGAACGGATTTTCTTACACGATTAGATAATTTCCTGTGTCTTTTGTTCATTTCATTGTTTTGGAACTTCTGCTAAATGGGATTCCTTCTCTAGATTTTTTTTGTTTCCCTTTTATTTTATATATTTGAGAAGATATGCAAGTGTAAACATTTTGAAGCACAATATCAAAACAAGCACTTTTGAACAGATCACTCAAAATGTAGAGCTGCGCTGTCCAGTACGGCACCCACAAGCTCCAGGTGGTGAGTTGGCACTTCAAACGTGGCTCACGTGAGTGAGGAAGTGAATTTTTAATTCTATTTAAAATTTAAATTTAAAAAGAGCATTCTGCATTCTGTTACTGCAAAACTTCCCTTTTTATTTATTTTTTTGGTAACATATAATGTATTATTTGCTTCAGGGGTACAGATCTGTGAATCATCAGTCTTACACAATTCACAGCGCTCACCATAGCACACACCCTTCCCAGTGTCCATCCCCCAGCCACTCCAGCCCTCCCTCCAGCCCCCAGCAGCCTATCAAAAAACTTCTTAGTATGTTTGGGACAACTTGATTTGTGAATTTATTTTTTCAACTGTAAGCTTTATGAAATCCAAGTACAGACCTAAGTATAGTATTTCTAATGAAAATGTAGCTGTAAATGTAGAATACAGCAAAAAATACAATACTTCATTAATATGTTTTTGACTGTATATTGAAATGATGGTTCAAACATAGTGGGCCACTTTGAAATACACTACTAAAATTAATTTCTTTTCATTCTTTTAATGAGAACCTTTTAAATTATGTTTCTGGCTGGCATTACGTTTCTATTGGCCAGGTCTGGGCTAAAATATTACTAAGACATTTGCATCAACTTATGTGCCTCTCTCCTATCCCATCACTGTGACTCCTTTTCAGAGGTAACCCCTATGCTAAATTCTGTGTTTATCGTTCCTTTACATACACAAATAATGCACTTATGAGTAGCTCTCCAGTCAATGTATGACTTTGTCTTCCTCGCTTCTGAACTTCATACGAACGGCACCAAACTGTATGTTGTCTCCCGGGCCTTGCTCTTCCCATTCGAACTGTCCACTCTCGACTCACGTTTCTGTGTGGATAACGCGATTAGGTCGTTCACGTTTGTTTCCGTAAGGCATCCATTGTTTCAATATGGCAAAATATATTTTTCTAGTTAGTGTTGCTGAACATCTGGGTTGTTGCTGGGTTTTGCGATGATGAGCGACAGCTCCGTGGAAGCCCTTGTACCGGCTGTGAGTGCGAGCGCGCGAGTGTGTCTCGGGCCGTGTCCCGAGGGACAGATCTGTAAGGTGGTAGGGGACAGGTCGGGTTTACTCGACAGCATCCGTTCGTTTTCCAAAGCGGCTGCACGAGTTCACAGCCTCAGCTGGACATACGGCAACTTCATGTCCAGGCCAACACTTGGCAAGGCCCCTTGTTTTCGTCTTTCTCAGTCTAGCAGGAGTCTCACGCTGTCACTGTGCCGAGTTCCTTATTATGGACGCTGGACTCCTTTCTGTGTTTAGTCATTGCTGTTTTTAAACTTTCTGTGAAGTACTTATTCACACTTTCTGACTTTTTGGGGGTTGTCTTTTGCTTATTGATTTAAAGGAATTTTTTTTTTGAAGATTTTATTTATTTGACAAACAGAGATCACAAGTAGGCAGAGAGGCAGGCAGGGAGAGGACGGGGTGGGGTGGGGTAGGGTGGGGGGGGGAAGCAGGCTCCCTGCTGAGCAGAGAGCCCGATGTGGGACTTGATCCCAGGACCCTGAGACCATGACCTGAGCTGAAGGCAGAGGCTTAACCCACTGAGCCACCCAGGTGCCCCTAAAGGAATTTTTATATAAGGTCAAATCATATTAAACTGCCATGATTCAACCTTTAGATACAGCGATTCATGAGACTCAACCTAAAATATTTATTTAGTTATTTTTGAGAGACTGTGAAGTGGGGAGGGAGGGGCAGAGGGAGAGAGAGAATCTTTTTTTTTTTTTCTTAAGATTTTATTTATTTATTTGATAGCGATCACAATCAGGCAGAGAGGCAGGCAGAGAGAGAGAAGGAAGCAGGCTCCCCGCTGAGCAGAGAGCCCGATATGGGGCTCGATCCCAGGACTCTGGGACCATGACCCAAGCTGAAGGCAGAGGCTTTAACCCACTGAGCCACCCAGGCGCCCTGGGAGAGAGAGAATCTTAAGCAGACTCCGTGCTCAGCTCAATGGCTGATGCAGGAGTGGCTCTCCCAACCCCAAGATCATGACCTGAGGTGAAATCCAGGGCCATGTAATCAACTGAGCCAGCCAGGCGCCCCCAACCTAAAATATTTTAGATGAAAATTATTTGCCAAGTGTGTGTGTTCAAAATATCTTAAGTCATGAGAAAATTGTATTTTCCCTTTTTTTTTGTGGCGAATTTGATTAAAGAAATTCATTTTAATCTAGCTGTATTTATCAGAAAATTTTCTTTAAAATTAACCTTTTCTGATGTCTTGAGAAATCCTTTCTTAGCCTGAAGGTACAAATATTAGCCAAAGTTTACTCATAGAAGGATAAAAGGTTGCCTTTTGTAGGTCTTGGCTAGGAAATTCTAGCGTCAGTTTGTCCACAAAAATGCGCTCTGGGGAATTTTTACTCAGGTTGCAATGAAGCTATTGATCAATTCTGGGAAGAACTGATATCTTTATAACACCGAGTTTTCCCCTGCACGGACACATACAGTCTTGACCAAGAACAGTCAACTTGGTCTTGAAGAAAAAGAAATGGGACTTAGAGATTTTAAAGCTGTGGTAATTAACCAGGTCAGCGCCCTGTGAGGACAGACAGACCAAGGGAACAGAAGGAAAGTCCAAGACTTCGAGACATGACCCTCACAGACCCATCTTCCACTTGGTCACTGTCTTCCTAGAACACTGCTGTGATCCAGACACCCACCGGGGAGACTGCCAGCGGGCTCTCGGGTCTGCAGCGAGAAACCCCAGACACCTAGCTTCAGCTCTGGGAATCTTCAGCTGTTTTCTGAACATTTTAAAATAAACAGTGAGAAAGCATTAAAGAAATTTCAGGTATTTTGCCTTGTGGAAAAAGAAGTGCTTGCTTGATTTGTCTTGAAAATTTTAAAAGACTGTTTTGTGGGCAGTGAGTGAAACTCGCTCTGTGGGGATGGCAGGACACCCAACTGCACCACGTGTAGAAGCTGTAGAACACATCTCTGCTCATGGGTGGTTCAAAATCTGAAACCTGGATCTTATTCCACTTCTGAAAACTGAGTGAAGTGTGCATTCCCTACTTCCGTTGTGAAGGTAAAGTGGAAACAGTCTCATTGTATCAATGTTCAGAGTGACATATTTCTCAGATTTTGCATTAAGGTGATGAGGTTAAAAATCTCTAATTTTTTTTTTTTTTTTTTTAAGAGACGGAGGGAGGGAGAGAGAGAGGAGAATCTCCAGTAGACTCTCCACCAAGTGGGGAACTCAATCTCACAACCCTGGGATCGTGATCTGAGCTGAAATCAAGAGTCTGACACTTAACCAACTGAGCCACCCAGGTGCCCCTGGGATTTTCAATGTCTAATTAACAGCCTTGTTGGTTGTGGTTATTTATTTTAATTCTGTCTGTAAAAAATACGTAACGTTTGAAAGAGAAAGGGTGTCTGTTAAGAGATACTGAAAGACTTGGAAAGATAGATGCAAATTTCTCATACATTTTAAAGAGCATTTCATATGTCATGCAAATAAATACAGCAAATTTTAAGAAATCAACACATTGACATTTTGATGTATTTATAACAAAGTGAGATGGGCTTCATGGTCTTTCCATATGTAAACTGTTACTGGAGCAGCGCATAGCTAGATCCCACTTATCTATGATTTCTAAATCTGCCCCATCCTGTCTTCCTTTCCCATCCCGGTCTCAGCAATTCTGAGCCCATATGGAAAAGTACCATCAGTCTTTAAGTTAAAACAAAACCAAAGCCTTGCTAAAATTGATCAATATTTTATGAACTAAAACGTGCTCCATGCTGAACTGAGCTGTAGCCTCACATCTAAGAGATGCGTTGCAGGTGCAGGCTGGAGCCTGTCAGGGCGGTGGGGGTGGGGTGGTTGTGCAGAACTTAGTAGCTAAGTGATCCTGAGCAAGTTTCATCTTTTTATGCCCTAATTTCCCCATCCTGTAGGGATGTTTTATGCAGTCAACGAGTTGGCACTGCACAGCCCTTAGAAGAGTGGCTGGCGTGCTCCGAGGCTAGGAGATACCTGATAGCATTACTGACTGGCATTCCCCACTGGCAGTGCAGGTGCTCGCCCCAACACTCCCCAGGGCGGTCAGGCTCCGGGGAGCTCAGTCGGGGGCAGCAAGCCGGGAAGAACCAGGCTCCAGGGCTTAAGGAGAACGGAAAGCGCCAACACAGATGGCATCCGCAGGGGCTGCGGGTCAAACCCCGCCTACGGAGGAGGTCGGACAGGTCCCGGGGAAAGGGGCCTTCCCACCCTCCCCAGACGCGTGGCCTCGCCATCCTCGATGTCGCCTCTTCTTGTGTCCCGTGAGGTTCGCGCTCACCCTGAAGGCTTTCCCGCACTGCTCGCATGCGTAGGGCTTCTCCCCCGTGTGCACCCGCTGGTGCCCAACCAGGGCGGCGCGCTGGCGGAAGGCGGCGCCGCACTCGCGGCAGGGGTAGGGCTTCTCCCCGCTGTGGATCCGGCGGTGCTGCGTCAGGCCCGAGCGGTGGTGGAAGGCCTTCCCGCATGCCTCGCACGCGTACGGCTTCTCGCCGGTGTGGATCCTCCGGTGGTTGGTCAGGTTGGACTTCCCGCGGAAGGCCCTCCCGCACTCGGGGCAGGCGAACGGCTTCTCACCGGTGTGCAGCCGCTGGTGCACGGCCAGGCCGTGCCGATCGTGGAAGGCCTTGCCGCAGTGCGCGCACAGGTGCGGCTTCTTGCCGCGGCGCGCGCGCTCAGGAGCCCCGCGCGGGCCCTGGGGGCGGCAGGCGCGGCTGCACTGCCCACACGGGTAGGGCTTCTCGGGGGCGTGGGCCGTCGGGGGGCGGCACGGCTCCGCGCGGCCGCCGCACTGTGGGCAGCCTGCGGCCGGCTCCCGCGCGTGCGTCCGCGCGTGCTTGCGCAGGTCGGAGCTCCGGCGAAAGGCCCTCCCGCACGCGCGGCACGGGTACGGCCGCTCGCCGCTGTGGATCCGGCAGTGCTTGGCGAGGTCCGAGCTGCCGCGGAAGGCCCTGCCGCACTGCCCGCACGCGTACGGCCGCTCCCCGGTGTGCGTGCGGCCGTGCAGGGTGAGGCAGTGCCGGAAGCGGAAGGCCTTGCCGCACGTCGCACACTCGTGCGGCCGCTCGCCGCTGTGTACCCGCTGGTGCCGCCGCAACCGGCTCGCGCTGCCGAAGGCCTTTCCGCATGCGCCGCAGCCGTGCGGCCTCTCCCCGCCGTGCGCCTTGCGGTGCCGGCAGAGCGCCGACGGGCTGCTGAAAGCCTTCCCGCACTGCGCGCAGCGGAAGGGCTTCTCCCCCGTGTGCGTGACGCGGTGCACACGCAGCTGCTTTCTGGTCTTGAACGCTTTCCCGCACTCGTGACACGCGTGGGGCTTCTCGCCAGCACGGACGCGCCCGTGGAGAAGCGGGAAGGTATGGCCGCGCGCGGCACCAGGGCGGGGCCTCCGTGCGGTCAGGGCTCGGGTGCGCGGGGTGCACTTGGAGTCTGAGCTCAAGTTGTTGGCGAGCACCGCCCAGGCCCTTCCTTCCTCGAGGGTCCCCTTTTCCTCTCCCAGTGTCTCCACCCCGGCCGGGTGCCGTGCATTCTCCGACTTGACATCCTGGACACAAGCTCCTCCAGCCTCAGGGTGCCCGGACAGGACGCCGCCGACTTCCCCACCCTCAGACACCTCCTGCTCTGAACTTGCCCTCTCAGTCCCGGGCCTGGTCCGGTCCGCTGACACTAAGGAAATAAACACGGCAGATCGGGGAGGGGAAAGGGTGAAGCCCTTGGAAGAGTACGTGACTTTCCCAGGCTGGAAGAGCCCTACGTCGTGGCCAAAGGCCGGGGCAGCTTGGCATAGTGAGAAGTACCAGGATAGCTCGGACTCTGCAGACTTTACAGAAGCCCCCGGCAACCTGCATGTTCTCGAGACTCTCCCGGTGTAGTGAATGGCCAATTCATACGCCTGGTCACCCGGGTCAGGAGACTGAGTCACACCCAACCCTCTCCCTCCCTCAGATTTGCTCAGCTTACCTTTCACAAATTCCACCTGGGACATGGCCTGCGGCCTAGCACCCCAGGAACCCGTCTGCCATGCTCTGCAGTGTAGCTCTGCCCACCGGGGTGCAGGGTACATCCAGTCTTGGCTGTCCCTCCCCCAACCAGGCCAGGTTCTCTCTGCTTAGACTCTGGACCCAGGCTGACAACAGCCGGTGCTGGGGGGATGGCGCACGGCTCAGGGGAGGGAACATTCTGCTTCAGCCCCTAGCAGCCCAGCAGCCAGTGGGACAGTCTCCCAGGAAGGAGGGACGCAGACCTACCGAGAGGCAGAGGGGACAGTGGGGCGAGGGACCTGATGTCCCCCTGCTCTGAGCTTCCAGGACATCCCGAATAATAAATTCTCATTGTTTTGCTCACGTTAGCTTGAGTTAATTTCTACTGCCGGCAACCAGAGTTTAAATCTCTTAATCTCAGCTCTACCCCTTCCTCTCTATTTCTCCTCAGGGCATTCTCGCTCCCTAACTGCCACCCCACCCCCCTTTAAGTGTCCTTTAACCTGGCTCCCTTTGAATCTATGCTCTACTCTGCTTCCAGATTTCTCTTTCTAAAAATCAAATCCTCTCATGCCGTGCCTCAGCTTAAGTATCTCAATGGCACTGCACGATAACCAGCGTGCAGGTCAGAGTCCCAGCTCTGGAGTGGGCCCTCCGGGCTGAAATCCTAGCTCTGACCTCTACTGGCTGTGCAACCTGGGAGGACAACTGCATGACCCTGGGCCTCAGCGGCTCATCTGTGAGATGGGATCGGTACCGAAGCTCATGTGTGTGGAGCACTGCCACATGGACGTGCATGCTTCAGCAGTGTCAGCTGCGACTGTCAGGACGAAGTTCAGAGCCTGCAGTTTACAAAAACCCCTCTGAATCACGGCTCCGCACCCTGGCCTCCCGGGGCCCTCTGCTCTGGTCACGCAGCTCACACTTCATGTTCTCCCTCCTCAACACTTGCCCATTCCCAGAATGCCTCTCCCCTTCTTCCACTAAACCATCTCACTTATGCAGCACGCTTAGTTCACAGTCCTTCCTTCCACAGTCATTGGATCCCAGGTCAGTGATAGATGCTTCTCTTCTGTGTTCCATGTCCCAGGTACATCTCTGTGACTCTCACTATTCTGTGCTGTGCCATCACTCACTACCTGCCTTCCCTACTAGTCAATAACATTGCCGCCATCTCTAGTTCCTCGTCTAGTGCCTGGTATACAGTAGTTGCTCAATAAATGTTTGTGGGATGGCAGGAGATAGGAGAAAGGAAGAGCAGTTATTGTGATAGGGCAGTTGGGTTGGTCTACAAATATGGGACGCTTTTTTGAAGGACGAGTAGGGAAACAGTTTGAATGAGGAGCTGGTACTTGTTTCACAGCTGACCAGGTAGGCAGGTCAGGGAGTGTGAGAGGCAACGTGAGAAAGAGGTAGACCCAAGTACAGAAACAGGGAGGGCTCGGTGGAGATGGGCTGTGGGGAGAGACGAGTTTTGCCTCTCCAGAGGGCAATGCGCTATCTAGTAAACACCAGGGGTTAGAAACGAGGGTGCTGGCCAGGAAAGGGGAGAAGTGAGCCGCGTCCATGCAGCCGGCACCTGCTGCGGAGCTAAGAGCTGGGGCCGGTGAGGGAACGGAGAAGGGCAAAGGGTCAGAGGCCTGAGGCTCAATGTGGGGAAGGTCCTGAGCAAAAACTCAGGGCAGAAAAGCAGCATTCCCTGAGCACTGGGGTGACTGATACCCAGCAGGGAGATGAATTCGCTGAGCTGTTTCTGGGACCAAACAGCACAGCCTTTAGATAGGCGCCAAGAGGCAATTAGATGACGACAGAGTAACTGCTTGAATAGTTTGCTGCTGTTCGTCTGCTCTGTGTTCGGGTGCCTGGGCAGGCGGGGACGGATAACCCAGCACCAAGAACATCGTCTGACCATCGTACCCAGGGCACCCAGCAGGAGGCTGGAGCGCCTCCCTCACTCACCTGGGAAGGAGCAGCTCAGGAGCCCCCAGTCCTGCAGATCGCGAACGCGGGGCTCGGCGCCACGCTCCAGACAGGAGATGAGAGGCGGCTTGGGGCCGGCGAAGCCTGGTTGTGTAGAAAGAATGAGTGCGCAGAGCGGCATGACAAGGGTCCTAGCGCCCAGGCTTGACCCCTCTGCGCGTGCAGGAAAACAGGAAAGAAATAGCCACTGGGGTGGAGAGAGGGTTCTCAGGGGTCTGGTCACACGGAGACACGTGTACGGATGCTCACAGGAGAGTCGTTCTTAGAAGGCAGAAGGGGAGACCCCGGGGAACAGCCCCTGCCCTGGCAACTGTCTTGCTCGGAGACAGAGGCGGGTCAGGGGACCCGGCAGGCGTCGCCCAACAACGCAACTGAAGGGAGAGGAGAGGAGACGGCGCCGAGCCCCGCGGGGACGTCCTTACCGAGCGATACCACGAGCCCGTAGTTGTCCAGCATGACGGCCGCGTAGAGGCGCCGCTGAGCGCGGGTCAGACGCCGCCACTCTCCGCCGCTGAAGCGCACGGCCACGTCCTCAAACGTCACCGAGTCCCGAGGCCGCGCGCGCCCGCGGTCCTGCAGGAAACCCCGCGGTGCGCTTAGACGCGGGCGCGGGAGGCCTTGCGGGAGAAGGTTCGCAGAAACGAGAGCCGGTGCCTGTGTGTGCACCGGGGCCGAGGTGAGAGGAGTGGCCACAAACGGCAGAGGAGCCAGAGCGAAGGGCGCGTTACCCCGTGGATGCTCCTCTGCAGGGCAGCCCTGCACGGGGGTCGGGGGACGAGAGAAGCGGGCGGGGCTGCGCTGTCAGGAGGGGTGGAGGGCGGGGAGGGTGGGGAGGGCTGCGGCTCACCCCCGCGCTCTTCGCTCCTGGCGGGGCTGCTCGGCCTCCCTCTGGGGCAGACGCGCGGTGCTGCGGCGCCGGCGGGGCTGAGAAAGAAAGGAGGCGGATCAACGCGGCACATTATTACCGAAACCTCCGCTTTCCTCCCGTCTTCCCCGACGTAGAAGCTTCTCAAGCTCCGTTTTCCGCGTTACTTCCCCAGCCTCGGCTCGGTGTTGGGCAGCGGGCGGTGGCACCAAGTCGGGCGCATGGCCAGCGCCCTCCCTCACCTCGTGCGCGTTTCCTAGATGGCCTCGCCCCTCCCCGAGCCCACATCACCGACTCCCGCCCACATCACCGACTCCCGGCTCGTGCGATAACTTCTCTTCTAGTATTCAAACGTTCCAGTCACTTCTTCGAGAGACCTGGGGCGCGGACGGGGCGGGGGAGCAGAAAGGAGGAAGGTGTGGAGCGGACGCACCCACCCGGGGCAGGCCCGAAGCTTATTCCTTTCACTAACTTAATGGCTGCTCTACCTCCAGTTAGTTTCTTAGAGGAACACCACCTTCCCCCTGCGATCCGGAATCTGTCCTAGTAATCCCCGAGCATAAGCCCTCCCGCCCACAGCACTGCGGTGCAGCCCACTGCCGGGCCTCATTCCTTCCCGGGGGCCAGCTCGGCCTTTCCGCGGCTTTGGTGTTGGCGGCAACCAAGCCTTCCAGAGCGTTCATCGGCACATCCCAAATCCGGGTCGGAAGATTCCAGTGGGGTTAGTCACCAGCTGGTGAGACCCGAGGATTACCCTGTGGCCTTAGGTCCCCCAAATTTCATTCCAGTTTTACCAAAACTTCAATTTGGGAGCAAACTGGTTTTTTTCCCAGAGAAACTTCCCACAATTCTTCTTCGGTTCAGGCTATTCTCAGCTTTTGACCAAGACCTGGGCTGTTTTAGTCCGTGTGGGTCCCCTCGTCACTCGCTCTGTAATTCTTGGTCGCACGCCGTCCCACACCCGCCAGGCCTGCGCACAGCTCGTTTTGCTCGGCTCCCTGTGGCATCAAAAACAGAAACCCTCCAACTGTATTTATTTTTTTCGATCCACATTTTGTCACGAACATTTTCAAGTATAGAGAAAAGCTGAAAGAATCATTTAGTAAGCAGCCTTTAGTAACTCACCTAAACGTTTGGAGTGCGTGCTCGGTCACACATCTGTCCATCTAACTAGCCCTCTATTAGCCCACTTTCTTTTTTGCTGCATTTCAAAGTAACTGAAGATATCAGCATACTGCACCCTGAAACTCTTTATGGCACGTACCATGAACAAGAGTTCGATATCTGTTTACCTTCCTGTTGAGGAGAAAGTTCCTACAGTAAAATAAACAAAAAAGCTCATCCCACTGGATGAGTTTTGACAAAGCACACCCCTATTTAACCCAGACTCCCCTCCGGATATATATCGCAGCGGCATTTCTACCATACCCACTTCACAGACTGGGAGTTTTGTGAACGCTCAGTGGTTCTTCTTTTTTTTTTTTAAGTGCTCATCACACTAAGATTTTTTTTGAATTGTGGGGAAAAAATGTTACAAAATTTACCACGTTAACCATTTTTAAGTGTACTGTTGAGCAGCTCTGACAACACTCACAGTGTTGTATAATCTCGAGAACTTCTTCATCCTGCAAAACTGAAACTCTAGGGGCGCCTGGGTGGCTCAGTGGGTTAAAGCCTCTGCCTTCCACTTAGGTCATGGTCTCAGGGTCCTGGGATATTCCCCCTCCCCATCTGCCTGCCTCTCTGCCTACTTGTGATCTCTGTCAAATAAATAAAATCTTAAAAAAAAACCCCTGAAACTCTATACCGGTTACATGGTCATTGTTTGTCCCTCCTCAATCCCTGGTCACTACAGTGATTCTTAGGCTTTTTTCTTCAGCTTCAGATTTTGAAAGGTCAGTTTCTGCCCTCAAGTTAAACATGAACTTGGGAGACAGGCTATGTGCTCAAATGGCATGAAACTACCTGTGCCAACTTAGGCCACCATAACAAAATACCCCAGAATGCGTGGCTTACATACTGGAAACCTACTGCTCACGGTTCTGGAGGCTGCAAGCCTGAGATCCAGGAGCCAGCACGGGCTCTGCCTGGCTTGCCGTCCTTCTGTCCTCATCTGGGGGACCCCACGGGAGTTCTGGTCTCCTCCTCTAATAAGGACACTAATTTCTTCATGTGGCTCCACCCTTATGTCTTTCTCTCAACCAAATTACTTCCCAAAGGCCCCACCTCTAAATATCACAATGTGGGGGTAGGTCTTCAACACATGAATTTTGAGGGATACAAACATTCAGTTGGTAACTATTTGTTAAAACAGTGTATGGATATAATCTAGGATGACATTCATCCACTTATATTTTATGTCACATGACTGTGAACTTTATGGTCCTCACAATCCCCACTGGGAAGAAAATTTAAGGTCTTATGAAAAAGGAGGACCGGTGGGGCACCTGGGTGGCTCAGCAGGTTAAAGCCTTGCCTTCAGCTCAGGTCATGATCCCAGGGTCCTGGGATCGAGCCCCGCATCGAGCCCCGCATCGAGCCCCGCATCGGGCTCTCCGCTCGGCGGGGAGCCTGCTTCCCCCCCCCCCCCCCCGCCTGCCTCTCTGCCTACTTGTGATCTCTGCCTTTCTAAAAAAAAAAAAAAAAAACTTTTCAAAAAAAAAAAAAAAAAAAAAAAGGAGGACCGGGAGACTCAGGTCTGATGTGAACCATAAGAAGTGTGTATAATTTTATATTTAAAAAAGGAAATAACACCCAAGTTAAGCAATGTTGATTATCTTCTACCTAAATTTATATCGAAGATGTTCTGTATTTTTAATTTTCATTTATGATTCCTTATACAGTGGAAATTTCAGGATTTCTCCTCTGGAAGTTCCAATAATATACTTTTCTTCTTTGTAGATAATACATACTAAAAGCCTACTTTTGGGGTCCTCAAGTGCCTAGTCCTCTGCCCAAAAGTCTGTGCCTTTTAGGGTCTGACTGGGACTCCAGAACTGCTGAATGTTGTCTCCTGGGTTTTACCTCCATCAGCCACTTCTCCACAGTCTAGACCACTTTGCTTTTCACACGTCACCACTCAGCACCTCTAAAGCCCAGCCTCACATTTTCCCATCTTCCTTAATTTTTCCAAAAGCTTCACGACAAAACCTTTGCTCCTTCTTTGCCGCTGTTTTATCTTGTTTCTCAAGGACTCATTCTATACTTTTAAAATCTCAAGGTTCCAAAAAGGTCTACAGAAGTAAAATTATATACGCTCAACATGGACACGTTGGGAAAACTGGTGGGGTAGGAGTTACCGAATGATACCATACGTTTCATGTACACATATGTAAGTTATTTATCATACATGTCAAGTTATACATATCGTTAACTATATATAATAAGGAATACAATTCTTTGATAAGTTGCTTTGTAGGATCTTTTCTTATGATTCTGATTTTTTCCAAATTGGATGTAGGATGAGGGCAGAAACTGAATATAGTTCCTCTCAATACTGATCCAAGCCTAGCATAGAAATAACAGAAGACGTCCAGTAAATGCTCAGTAATGAGTGGATTTCCAGGCTCCAGGAAGCATGTCCTTCCTGCCCCCACCCACTGCCCATGCCGCGTCCCAGCTGTTTTCAGCTGCCGTCCTCCTGGCACAATACCCTGTGTGCCTCACCTCTTTCCTGAAGGAGCTCAGCATCAGGGGTCCCAGGCAGCTGGCGTGGAGGGCCTGGACTCTCATGTGACACCATCACCTATTATGAAGCACAGAAAAACTCAGGGAAGTTATGGATGGGAGGAAAACAAGCTCTAAGCAACTATGAAGCTTTGTCTGTGGAAATCAACTCCCAGACATTCCGGGCAGGGTAGGGAGAGAGAAATTCAGGGATTCAGTCCCTGATACACTTTATGAAAAAACAGAGAAGACTTCCAATTCCTCTCTATCACTGGAAAGCTTTCATGGTCACAAGGCCGTCCAGCAAAAATATTTTGAAGCAGGAAACTTCCACCATGTCCCCCCTGCTTTCCTTTTCTGTTCTCGCTTCTCCTTCCTCCTCCTGGAGAAGTGTCGCAGACCCTCCTTTCCTTACCTCCTGTATCTTTTTACCCAGCTTTCTTTACAGTCTTCCACTACAGTCCAGATTCTTCTCTGCTGTTTGGGTCAAAATCCCAGAGTCAGTTCTGGCTTTGCCCAGACAAGTCTGGAAGTGGCCTGGGGGATGCCAGCCAAAGGGCCCCTGCTGACCCACAGGCCAGCTGGTATTTGGCCTGATGTGTCACACAATGCCCTGGATTTGGGGTTTCTGAGCAGCATTGAGCTAGCTGTGGTCTTACCCCTTGTCTTCTGAATATTCCACGAAAAGGAAAAGAGAGGCCCGCGAACACAGGGAGGAGTGGCTGGGGATTATCTGTGGAAGAGGAAGCCCAGGAAGACAAACTGAAAATGGTACGTATCTGGAACAGAACCTCCACAGCTACCATCCTGGTCCAGGCCGCCATCCGCCGCCTTGCTCTCCATTCTTCCTAGCTGGTCTCCCTGTGTCTGTCCTTCCCTTCTGCCTCTTCTCAACACAACGGTTGGACGGGTAGGCTTAAAACTAAACTGGATTATTTCATCTCCGTTTAAAACCTCCCAGTCTCCAGTTTACTCAAAGCGGTGGTGTACAAAGCTGTATAAATGCGCCCATTCCTTCTGGCCATCTCTGCCGCTTATTCAGAATAAAGCTGGTCTCCCAGGGGCATACACGTCTAGGTGGATGGGCCGAGTACCGCTCCTACTAGTCTCCTCGTTCAACCGACCTCACGCACACAGACCCTTGGCTTCCAGCTTAGGGCCTTTGCACCAGCTGTCCCTGCACCTCAAGCAATCCTCACGGCAAATGGTCTGGCTTTCCAGTGCTTGCCTGTCTTCTTCCCGAGATCGACTCTAGGTGCCCTACTAAGGTCGCCACCTGCTCTCTTTCCAACCCAGACGCCTTACCTGGCTTTACCTTTCCTCTTTTTTCCAACAGCGCTCGCCCACTTCCCGACACGGTAAATTACTCTAGTCCCGCGTCTGTTACGTCTGGTCGGTCCCTCCCTAACTCTAGGCTCCTAGGCTCTGGAGGGCAGGGAGTTCTGGACACTGTGTGCACGGCTATGCTTGCAACGCCCCAAACAGCACCTGCACCAGCGGCTCAAGGAATGAGCGCAGGCGCGGACGCCGGGGAGGACAGTCGACGGGATCAAAGAAGGGAGGGGCCGCTGAGAGCAAGAAGAGCGGGAGCGGGCCGGAGCACCTGTGGGAGAGCCCGGTTTGCAGGGCGACCCCGCCGCGGAGCCTGCCCTTCCCGCGGAAGACCCTGCGGTGCCGGCTGGCCGCTCGAGAGCCCGCGGCTGAGCGCCCGTCGCACACCGGCTGCAGGTGCAGGCCTTCCCGCCCGTCCACCCCCAAGCAACCAGCAACCAGGCACCTCTGCGCCTGCGCCGGCGCCGCTTCCCAGTCCTCCACCACCCACTTCCGGTGGCTTTCTAGGAAATGCGGCCCCTCGCTGGTCCCGGCCTCTCCGGAAATTCCTCCGGGCTCTCTCGCGCGCACGTCCCGGGAGTTCGCGCGAGTGTCTGAAGGCGCGAGGGGCGCGGGGTCGCAGCGTGCGTGCGTCAGCGCCGCGACCCGTTGTAGCGCGGGCTCGCCTTCCCGCTGCGGCGCGCGGGGGTTTTCTGACGTAAATACCAGAAAAAGTCACTTTAAATATGAGCCAAAAGCACGAGGTAAATGACGCGATGCTCTTTCTCAGAAGTTAAAAAAGTGGTTCTGAGCAGTTGCAAACGACACGAAAGTGGAGAGACGGCCTGTGAGCCCGCAGGTGCCCTCCGCTCGGGCTCGACGCTGAGTGAGACGCTGCTGCGCCCGCCGGTCGCCCGCAGCCCCGCGTTTCCGGCGGGAGCCTCTGAGGGCAAACCTGGAGACGTGGTCCCGGCGTCGTGGTCCCGCAATGCATTATGGGCGCTTTCCGGCGGGACCCAGTGCCGTTTTCCCACTAAACCTGTTCAGTGACGACTCCCGGTACTGCGGGCCCGAGCGCCCGTTGCGGGACGGGCTGTCGCAGGGCCTCGGCTCGTCCGTGAGACACGCGACACTCTTCTCCAAACCAAGACACACAGTCTCCGTGCTTGTTTGGGGTCGTTTCTCTTAATTTTCTTTTAATTTAGACCTAGAATAGCTCCTCCTCCATCTCTCCCCCCCCCTTCCCCCCAGTGAAACAAACTGGGTGGTTTGTCCTGAATCTTCACGTGCTGGTTTTGTCCGTTTGCATCTTCGCTTACTCCTCCAGCCTGGAGTTTCCCGTTAACTAGAAGTTGGCCCCGAGGGCTTGGTTCGAGTCCGGTTTACCCTTAGGGCGCGAGTCATTCTTGGTTGCGTCCTTCTCGCTTCACCCCAGGAGGCACAGAGCTCTGACTTTCGCTGCGTGCGAAACCGCGTCCTTCCGGAGCGCCCCCCCCCCCCCAGGCCTTTCACTGGCTGGTTTCACCAACGGATCTTTGCCCAAATCAGCCGTTTCATTCGGGTTTGCAAAATGGTGATTTTTCTCGTTCAGTGATTTTTGTCATGTCGATGAACAGGAATTTCCTTTAAAGGGTTTTTTTCTTACCGGCGTATAAATTTCGGGCTATTTGGTTATCCTGAAAGGTAGCACAAACAAAAGACAATGAATGTTTCCTCCTCAGTTTAATCGCCGGTATTCGGAGTACACAGTCGCTTGCCCCGGGAGCCGCGGTCAGCCGTGTGTTGGCCATCCTTGGAGGCGGCCAGCGGCGAGCCCTGCCTTCCAGGAGTCACTCCTCGCGTAGCTGCCTCGCACACTGCCGGAGCCGGTGTGTGCGACCAGCTGAATATGGGGGACGCGGTGTTGCGTTACTTTGAATGTTAAGTTATGAAAGAGACTGTGGCTTCCAGCTTTGTCTCTCTCTCTCCCTCCCTCGGAAGCCCCCCGTCAACGGCCATATGAGTGAGTTTAGAACTGCGTCCTCCAGCCGCCAGCCAAGGCTTCCGATGACTGCGGCCCAGCGCAGACACCCCACACCAACAGCTAAACTGCTCTCAGGTTCCTGGTCGACAGAAACTGTGAGGTAATGAATATTCGATGTCTGATTCTAAATTTTGAGGGTATGGTTTTATGCAGCAATTGATAACTAATTTTTTTTGGCCTTGGTTTCTCTTTTTGAACCTCATTACAAGCTCATGGATTTTTTATTTTTATTTATTTATCTTTAAAAAAGGTTTATGTGAGAGAGAGAGGAGGAGAGAGAGAGTGAGAGAGAGAGAGAGAGAGCATGAGCTGGGGTGAGGCGCAGAGGGAGAGGAAGAGAGAGATAGTCCTCAAGCCGACTTGCGGCTGAGCACAGAGCCTGACGCAGGGCTTGATGCCAGGACCTTGAGATCCTGACCTGAGCCAAAATCCAGAGTCAGCCACTTAACCAGCTGAATCACCCAGGTGCCCTACAAACTCATGGATTTTTAAAAAAACACATCCGAGTCATTATTTTTGATGTTCAGATGGTTCCTCTTTGGCGGGTGGGAGTGCCTATGTTTTGTCTCCTGTGCCCTTTTTATGTAGCTCTGAGAGTCTTTGTTAGCTTTTTTATTCTGTAGCAGGACAAGATATTTCAGGCTTATTTGGCATATTTCCTGCATCATTTCTCCAAGGCGTAATCAGTTTCTCTAGGGGTCTTGGTTCCTTTCAGTGGGTCGGATGACTGCATATCTTTGCAAATGGTCACAATTAACGTCACTTAAAGCACATCAAAATTGAACCAAATTTACTTAACTATGGGACTGAATTCAGGTTAACTCACTTGGTTCCTGTGTGTGTGAGACTCTGACCAAGTTGTACCTCATGTCCCAGTTTCCTCATCTGCCAAGTGGATCCTGTCTAAGTACCTAACTTTTACAGTTGTTCTGAGGGTTAAATGAGGTCATGTACTGAAATCACTTAGTATGTTGCCTGGCATCAAATTTAATGATTAGGATAATAGAATTGCAAGTCTGGATGGTACATAGTGATCACAAAAAAGGAGTAAATACAATTCCTTCGTTTCACATTTGAGAAGATTGAGGCCCAAGACGTCAAAAAATAGTCTAAAATTACACAGGAGGATAAAGAAAAGAGGAGAAACCGATGACTCCAGAGTCTCGGATCTCAAACCTAGGTTATTTTGCACAGAAACAGAGTCTAGGGGTGCCTGGGTGGCTCAGTGGGTTAAAGTCTCTGCCTTCAGCGCAGGTCATGATCCCAGGGTCCTGGGATGGAGCCTGGCATCGGGGTGGGGGGGGGGGTCTCTGCTCAGCAGGGAGTCTGCTTCCTCCTCTCTCTCTGTCTGCCGCTCTGCCTACTTGTGATCTGTGTCTGTCAAATAAATAAACAAAATCTTTAAAAAGAAAAAAAAAAAAAAAGAAACAGAGTCTATCCAGCCCAATCAGGGTTTCTGTTTATTCAAAGACAGAGGAAATTAGGTATCACAATCCTGGACTTAAAGCTTTATTGCAAAGCTGTGGTCATCAAGACAGTATGGTACTGGCAAAATAACAGACACAAAGATCAATGGAAGAGAATAGAAAATCCAGAATGGACCCACAACTAATATGCTCAATTAATCTTTAACAAAGCAGGAAAGAATATCCAGTGGATATTCAACAAATGGTGTGGAAAATTGGACAGCCACGTGCAGAGGAATGAAACTGGACCACTTCCTTATGCCATACACAAAAATAAATTCAAAATGGATGAAAGACCTAAATCTGAGAAGGAAACCATTGAAATCCTAGAGGAGAACATAGGCAGCAACCTCTTTAACCTTGGCCATAGCAAGTTCTTACTAGACACGTGCATCTCTGGAGGCAAGGGAAACAAAGGCAAAAATGAATTACTGGGACTTCATCAAGATAAAAAGCTTCTGCATGGTGAAGGAAGTAACACAACTAAAAGGCAGCCTATGAATGAGAGAAGGTATTTGGAAATGTCATTACAGATAAAGGGCTGGTATCCGAGATCTATAAAGAACTTCTCAAACTCAGCACCCAAAAAGCAAATAATCCATCAAGAAATGGGCAGAAGACACGAACAGACACTTCTCCAAAGAAGACATACAAATGGCCAGCAGACACATGAGAAAATGCTCCACATCCCTTGGCATCAGGGAAGTACAAATCAAAACCACAGTGATATCCCCCCATCTTACACCACTCAAAATTACTAAAATTAATAAGTCAGGGAACAACAGATTTTAGCGAGGAAGCAGAGGAAGGGGAACCCTCCTATACTGTTGCTGGGAATGCAAGCTGGGGCAGCCACTCTGGAAAATAGTATGGAGGTTCTTCGAGATGTTAAAAATAGAGCTATCCTATGACCCAGCAATTGCACTACTTGGTATTTACCCCAAATATACAGATGTAGTGAAAAGAAGGGGCACATGCATCCTAATGTTCATAGCAGAAATGTCCAAAATAGCCAAACTGGAAGAAGCCCAGATGTCCATTGATAGGTGAATGGATAGAGAAGATGTGTGCATGCGCGCGCACGTGCACACACACACACACACACACACAGTGGAATATCATACAGCCATCAGAAATGAAATTTTTCCATTTGTAATGTCATGGATGGAACTGAAGGTATTATGCTATGTGAAATAACTCAATCAGAGAAAGGCAGTTATCATATGATCTCACTCATATGTGGAATTTAAGAAACAATTTTTTTGTTTTGGGTCCAAAATGAGTTTCTTGTAGACAGCCATAGAGGATCATAGGGAAACTGAAAAAAATAAAACAAGTTGAAACTTGAGAGGGAGACAAACCATAAAAGACTCTTACAGGACACAAACTAAGGGTTGCAGGAGGGGAGGTGGTGGGTGTGATGTAACAGAGTGATGGACAATAAGGAGGGCATGTGATGTAATAATGAGCACTGGGTGTTATATAAGACTGATGAATCACCGACCTCTACCTCTGAAACCAATAATATGTTATATGTTAATTGAATTTAAATTAAAAAATTATTCCCCCCCAAGAAGAAAAAAAGAAATTACTGTTCACTCTGCACTAATATCTGAATTTTTATAGATGCTATTTTGTTAATTCTCATTGAATCAGGTGAGAATATATTTGTTCTGTCTCCCTAACATGAATGCAAAGTCTTTTCTAGCATAGATTCCACTTATTCTATGAATAATGTCTTCATCAAAATCCAGAATAGAGTTTACCTTCAGTATCTGTATGATATAAAATATATCCCCCAGTGAGGATGCTATCAGTAGACGCGATACAGCCATGCCAACTGAAATAAGGGAATAGTTACCTGTGGCTTTTTCAGAGTTCACATAACAAATATTTATGTATCATGAAGTCCACTCCACTGTGTTCTAGGGATAACTAGTCCCTCACTTCAGGAAGTTCACAGGCTAGTACAGTGCTTCCTAAACATTAGTGGGCATATGAACTGGGGTGCTACTAAGAGTACAGATTCAGTCCTGCCCCCGGTGTTAGCTGGGAGGTCCAGGTGCTGCTCAGGAATCTGTATTTGTGATGAGCACTCCACTGACTCAGTTTCAAGTGGTCCTTCTACATCACTCAGGGAAATACTCTCCAGTTGATCAATATGCCTTTTGAAAACAAAGCCAAGAGGACATCAAGGAAGACTGGCATGAAACTCCCATTGTACCCCAGTAACTGACCAAGCCTGAAGATGAAGGTTGTGGGTTAAGAGTGTGATAAGAGGGGATTACACACTTGTATCTACGGTGATAAAAATAAAATGGATCCAAGTGTAAGGGATCCACATGCTTTTTGAAGGATAGGTTGTAACTCCGGTGTGCAGTTTTTCTGTATTTGTTTTTCTGGAAGATTTTAAGTGTAAGATTCATAGTTGGGAGTACTCTTTGAAATGTTCTGAAGTTGCTAAGATAAATAAAGAAGACAACAGAAAGTAGAAACTCTTTACGTTTCTTTAGTCTTTAGGACTTACCTGCACAGAAGCTTCTGGGGCTTTCTCAAGTCTGCTGCTCATGGATCAGAAACATAAGACCTTTGACCCCACTCCAGCGGGGAGGTCATAGCATGTCGGGGAAACTGCAGTGCTCCTTGTATGGGAGGGAACGGGGCATGATTACCTAGAGAGTAAAATAAAGCCACCTCAAAGCCTGGAATGGGAATAAATAAGCAGAGACTAAAT